AGAAATAGTTGGGCTCACTAAATCATATTTTCCAGTCTGAGCCAAATACATCCATCATCATCCTTGGCAACACGTAAAGGACAGTCCCACAAGATTGCATTGAACAGTTTAGATGATAGGTGGTCACCCTGGAAGTCCTTAACATCAACTCCATACTCATGATGTTTCAGCACATTATATCAAACTTGGCAGAAGCATGAAGGATATCCAAGTGTGGCTTAGTGACACCATTAATGCCCGAGCCCTGAAGGAGATATCTGGCAGACTGGACCTACAGCTCGTGGTGAGGGAACCAGCATGTGGAAAAACCTACTTGGCGCCTTCCTCACCAATCTACAACTGCAGATACATTTGTCAATGACAGCATTGATAGGAATCATCACCACAATCTTTGTGGACATGACGTCTATGGTGAAGACATCATCCACTGCGTTACGTGGCGCTATCACTGTATTAAATGGGATAGATTCACAACAGATCTAGTGGTTCAAAACTGGTCATCCATGAGGTGCTGAGAGCAATCGCTAGCAGAATTGTATTCAATTATAATCTATAACCTCATGGCCCAACATATCTCCCATTTTACCAATACCATCAAGTTGGGTATTAACTCTGGTTCAATGAAAATAGCAAAAAACATGACAGGAGCATTTCCAGGACTACCTAAAAATGAGGAGTTGACTGATAAAGCTGCAACACAGTACCACATCAATGCTTAACAGCAGAAGAAGCAGACAATAGACAGAAGTAAGTAATCCCATGACTAATAGATCAGATTAAAGCTCTGTAACACTGCCACATTGTGGACACTTAAACAACTGATCAGATCAAGTTCCTATCCTCAACAACAGGGGATCCCAGCACATCAGTACAAAAGACGAGGCTGAAGCATTTACAACATCGTCAGCTACAAGTCCCAATTCTATAGTCCATCTCAGTGTTATCCTGAGCTCCCCAGGATCACAAATGACAAACTTCAACAATTTAACTGTCTTTACATGACATTGAAATGGAGCTGTTGGCACAAAATACAAAAAAGGCTATGGGGCCTGACAATAATCCAGCAATAGTCCTGCAGACTTGTGCTCCAGAATTAGAAGCACCCCTAGCCAAGATGTTTCAATACAGCTCCAACACTGCCCAGGTACGTCCTGTCCCTAAAACACTGGACAAATCCAACTGGTACAATTAACAACCTACCAGTCTATTCTTGATAAACAGTGATGAAAAGGAAAGTGATGGAAAGTGTCATTATCAAGTGGCATTTACACTTCAATAACCTGCTCACTGATGTTCAGTTTGGATTTTATCAGGGCCATTCAGTTCCTCATCTCATTATAATTTTAATCAATAGACAAAGGTGCTGAACTCCAGAAATTAGGTGGGACTGACTGCCCTAAAAATCATGGCAGCATTTGACTAAGAGTGGCATCAAAACATTTTAGCAAAACTGGGGTCAACGGGAATCAGAAGGGAAACTGGCTGGAGCCGTACCAACCAAAAAAGGAAGCTGGCTGTGGTTGTAGGAGTCAAACGTCCCAGGTCCAGAACAGCACTGCAGGAGAACACAAGCAACATAAGAACTTAAGTTCTTCAAAGAACATGTTCCCCATTGGTCAAGAGTTGTAAATAATTGTTTAGAAATTGTTGGTTTTGTTGACATTCGTCACACTGCAGGGGGATCTGGGTGTGCAGGTCCACAGATCACTGAAGGTGGCAGCGCAAGTAGATAAGGTAGTATAAAAAGGCCTATGCCATGCTTGCCTTCATTGGAAAGTGTATTCCGTATCAGTATAGGCAAGTTATGCTGCAGCTTTATAGAACTTTAGTTAGGCCACGCTTGGAAAATTGCGTACAGTTCTGGTCATCACACTACTAGAAGGATGTGAATGCTTTAGAGAGGGTACAGAAAAGGTTTACCAGAATGTTGCCTTGTGTGGGGGATTTTAGCTATGAAGAAAAGGTTGGATAGATTGGATTTGTTTTCACTGGAACACAGGAGGTTGAGGGAGACCTGATAAAAGTTTACAAGATTGTGAATGGTACAGATAGAGTGGAATGTATGAGGTTTTTTCCCAGAGTGGAGGGGTCAATTACTAGGGGACACAGGTTCAAGGTTCAAAGTGCAAGGGGGAAAAGTTTAAAAGAAACTGCGAGGGCGATGAGTGCCTGAAACACATTGCCAGAGGTGGTGGTGGAAGCAGACACACTATCAGCATTCAAGAAATACCTGGACGATTACATGAATAGGAAGGGAATGGGGGATATGGATCCTCTAAGCGAAGACAGTTTTAGTATGGAAGGACAAAATGTGTTGGTGCAGGCTTGGAGGGCCGAAGGACCTGTTCCTGTGCTATACTGTTTTTTCGTTCATGCATAAATTTGGGTTAAATTGTTACAAAATTACCTTCAATAAAAGGTAGAAAAATAGGATGCACTGCTGAGATTGTTGCACTTGCTGAAGGATAGCATCTTTTAGAAGATGCTGAGATGGAGACACTTAATGGAGGATTTTGAAATTGAGAGTAAGGCACATGCTTAGCAGCTAACATTTGTTGAAGTAATTGTCTCAGGTTTTGGGTTGCCGTAAAAATCCAGTAGTTGGGATCAGTAAAGTACAGGCTTAATCATTTTGGGAATACCAGTCTTGGTTAACTTTGTTTTTCTCTCTCTATAGATGCTACCAGGCCTGCTGAGTTTCTCCAGCACTCTATTCTTATTTCAGATTTCCAGCATCCCCAAGATTTTGCTTTTATTTGTTTGGAAGCTGCATACAGCTCCAGCAGTTAAAGCAGATTAGAAACTTTAGCAATTAAGGACCGGAAAACTAAAGTTGAAGTCTTAAAGCTGCAAAGTGATTTGTACATGTATTGAAGTTGGCTAAGCTAAAATATTAAAGGATATTGAGATTGAAGAAAACAGGGTTCAAAGAACCAAGATGTCTTGCGATCCAGAAGATAGGTTGACCATGCTGAACTTGTAAATTATGCTCTCCCTCCCATCCCTCCCTCTATCCTACCTGTACACTAACAACATATGCAAGAAGCATTGCAGCAACTCACCAAGGCTCCTTCAATGGACCTTCCAAATCTTTACCTCGACCAATGAGATGGACAAGGGCAACAGATGTACTTTAACATCATCACAGAATTCCTATAGTGCAGAGAGGCCATTCTGCCCATCGAGTCTGCACAGAGCCTCCAAACAGTATCCCACCCTATCCCCATAACATCACGTTTACCATTGCTAATCCACCTAGCCTGCACACCCTTGTACTCTACTAAACAGGGCAGTTTAGTATGGTCAATCCACAAAACCTTCAAATCTTTGGACCAAGGGAAGAAACTAGAACAGCCAGCAGAAACCCATGCAGACATGGGGAGAATGTACAAACTCCAAACACACAGTCACCCAAGGCTGGAATCAAACCTGGGTCTCTGTGCCGTGAGGCAGCAGGGCTACTCACTGTGCCACCCCATCACCTTCCATCCAAGCCACACAAAATCCCATCTTAGAACTATATTGTCATTCTTTCACTGAACAGTCCTTGTAGGCATACCTGCACCAGATGAACTGCAATGGTTCAAGGCAATGGCCCACCACCAGTTTCTTAAGGGCAAATAAAGATAAACAATAATTACTGGCCTTGCCAAGAACACTTTCATCCCATAAGAGAATAAAAATCCCACGGGTAGTCATCAAAATACATATATATGCTGACCACATGCCTATGAACGATATCACCAAAGAGTAGGATTAGAAGAAAACGACAAGGGGTCAAGAATGGGCTCCCAAAGGGGATCATCATCACTGTTTGTTACTCCAAAGCCTCTAATCTGAAGATTACTTGATTTGATGACATAGATTTTTGAGTAAGTCTCACTGAACTAAATACAATGGGAGATAAACAGCTGCCATAATGTAAACATGCCTCCACAGCCACTCCAGAAGTGATGTTGTAGGAACAGATGGTGAAACCAGTGTTGGAGATTAATCATAGTATTGGGATGGATGAGTGAAACCAAACAAAAACAATCTTGTTGAGCACGGAAAAGATATATTAAACATAAAGCACATAGGTAGGCCATTTATACTCCATGTGAATCTCCTCCCGCCCTATAGTTTCTAACCCTGTCCAAATATTCTTTTCTTCCTTATCCCTCATGTGTAACTAGTTTCACCTTAAATGTATTTCGGCTTTTCATCTTAAATAATCATTTTGGCAGCACATCTCACATTTCCAATCAGCATGAAGAGGCTTCTCTTAAATTTCCTGTTGGATTAATCTGTGCCCAACTATACTCTTCGGCCTTTCCTCATAAATATAGCCTATCAGTTCTTGCAGAAT